TGCCGGACACTAATAATTTCGTTCCGGCAATAATGTCCCCCATGCCGGACACTAATAATTTCAATCCGGCAATAATGTCCCCCATGCCGGACGTCAGTAATTTCATTTCGGCAATAATGTCCCCAATGCCGGACACTAATAATTTCATTCCGGCAATAATGTCCCCCATGCCGGACACCAATAATTTCATTCCGGCAATAATGTCCCCCATGCCGGACACCAATAATTTCATTCCGGCAATAATGTCCCCCATGCCGGACACTAATAATTTCGTTCCGGCAATAATGTCCCCCATGCCGGACACTAATAATTTCAATCCGGCAATAATGTCCCCCATGCCGGACACCAGTAATTTCATTCCGGCAATAATGTCCCCCATGCCGGACACCAGTAATTTCATTCCGGCAATAATGTCCCCATGCCGGGCACCAGTAATTTCATTCCGGCAATAATGTCCCCCATGCCGGACACCAATAATTGCATTCCGGCAATAATGTCACTAATGCCGGAAATCAGTATTTCATTCTGGCAACAATGTCACCGATGCCGGACACCAGCAACTTCATTCCGGCAATAATGTCCCCCATGCCGGACACTAATAATTTCATTCCGGCAATAATGTCCCCCATGCCGGACACCAATAATTTCATTCCGGCAATAATGTCCCCATGCCGGACACCAATAATTTCATTCCGGCAATAATGTCCCCCTGCCGGACACTAATAATTTCGTTCCGGCCATAATGTCCCCCATGCCGGACACTAATAATTTCAATCCGGCAATAATGTCCCCCATGCCGGACGTCAGTAATTTCATTTCGGCAATAATGTCCCCAATGCCGGACACCAGTAATTTCATTCCGGCAATAATGTCCTCCATGCCGGACACCAATAATTGCATTCCGGCATTAATGTCCCCCATGCCGGACACTAACAATTTCCTTCTGGCAATAGTGTCCCCCATCAATAATGTCCCCCATGCCAGGCACCAATAATCTCATTCCGGCAATAATGTCCCCCATGCCGGACACCAATAATTTCATTCCAGCAATAATGTTTCCCATGCCGGACACCAGTAATTTCATTCCGGCAATAATGTCCCCCAAACGAAAGCCAGTAATTTCAATCCAGCAATAATGTCCCCCATGCCGGACATCAGTAATTTCATTCCGGCAATAATGTCCCCAATGACAGGCACCAGTAATTTCATTCCGGCAATAATGTCCCCCATGCCGGACACCTGTAATTTTATTCCGGCAATAGTGTCCCCCATGCAGGACCCCAGTAATTTCATTCCGGCAATAATGTCCCCCATGCCGGACACCAATATCTGCATTCCGGCAATAATGTCCCCAATGCCGGGCACCAGTAATTTCATTCCGGCCATAATGTCCCCAATGCCGGACACCAGTAATTTCAATCCGGCAATAATGTCCCCCATGCCGGACACCAGTAATTTCATTCCGGCAATAATGTCCCCCATGCCGGACACCAGTAATTTCATTCCGGCAAATAATGTCCCCCATGCCGGGCACCAGTAATTTCATTCCGGCAATAAGGTCCCCCATGCCGGACACCAATAATTGCATTCCGGCAATAATGTCACTAATGCCGGACATCAGTATTTCATTCTGGCAACAATGTCACCGATGCCGGACACCAGCAACTTCATTCCGGCAATAATGTCCCCCATGCCGGACACTAATAATTTCATTCCGGCAATAATGTCCCCCATGCCGGACACCAATAATTTCATTCCGGCAATAATGTCCCCCATGCCGGACACCAATAATTTCATTCCGGCAGTAATGTCCCCCTTGCCGGACACTAATAATTTCGTTCCGGCCATAATGTCCCCCATGCCGGACACTAATAATTTCAATCCGGCAATAATGTCCCCCATGCCGGACGTCAGTAATTTCATTTCGGCAATAATGTCCCCAATGCCGGACACTAATAATTTCATTCCGGCAATAATGTCCCCCATGCCGGACACCAATAATTTCATTCCGGCAATAATGTCCCCCATGCCGGACACCAATAATTTCATTCCGGCAGTAATGTCCCCCTTGCCGGACACTAATAATTTCGTTCCGGCCATAATGTCCCCCATGCCGGACACTAATAATTTTAATCCGGCAATAATGTCCCCCATGCCGGACACCAGTAATTTCATTCCGGCAATAATGTCCCCCATGACGGACACCAGTAATTTCATTCCGGCAAATAATGTCCCCCATGCTGGGCACCAGTAATTTCATTCCGGCAATAAGGTCCCCCATGCCGGACACCAATAATTGCATTCCGGCAATAATGTCACTAATGCCGGAAATCAGTATTTCATTCTGGCAACAATGTCACCGATGCCGGACACCAGCAACTTCATTCCGGCAATAATGTCCCCCATGCCGGACACTAATAATTTCATTCCGGCAATAATGTCCCCCATGCCGGACACCAATAATTTCATTCCGGCAATAATGTCCCTCATGCCGGACACCAATAATTTCATTCCGGCAGTAATGTCCCCCTTGCCGGACACTAATAATTTCGTTCCGGCCATAATGTCCCCCATGCCGGACACTAATAATTTCAATCCGGCAATAATGTCCCCCATGCCGGACGTCAGTAATTTCATTTCGGCAATAATGTCCCCAATGCCGGACACCAGTAATTTCATTCCGGCAATAATGTCCCCCATGCCGGACACCAGTACTTTCATTCCGGCAATAGTGTCCCCCATGCAGGACCCCAGTAATTTCATTCCGGCAATAATGTCCCCCATGCCGGACACCAATAATTGCATTCCGGCATTAATGTCCCCCATGCCGGACACTAACAATTTCCTTCTGGCAATAGTGTCCCCCATCAATAATGTCCCCCATGCCAGGCACCAATAATCTCATTCCGGCAATAATGTCCCCCATGCCGGACACCAATAATTTCATTCCAGCAATAATGTTTCCCATGCCGGACACCAGTAATTTCATTCCGGCAATAATGTCCCCCAAACGAAAGCCAGTAATTTCAATCCAGCAATAATGTCCCCCATGCCGGACATCAGTAATTTCATTCCGGCAATAATGTCCCCAATGACAGGCACCAGTAATTTCATTCCGGCAATAATGTCCCCCATGCCGGACACCTGTAATTTTATTCCGGCAATAGTGTCCCCCATGCAGGACCCCAGTAATTTCATTCCGGCAATAATGTCCCCCATGCCGGACACCAATATCTGCATTCCGGCAATAATGTCCCCATTGCGGGCACCAGTTATTTCATACCGGCCATAATGTCCCCAATGCCGGACACCAGTAATTTCAATCCGGCAATAATGTCCCCCATGCCGGACACCAGTAATTTCATTCCGGCAATAATGTCCCCCATGACGGACACCAGTAATTTCATTCCGGCAAATAATGTCCCCCATGCCGGGCACCAGTAATTTCATTCCGGCAATAAGGTCCCCCATGCCAGACACCAATAATTGCATTCCGGCAATAATGTCACTAATGCCGGACATCAGTATTTCATTCTGGCAACAATGTCACCGATGCCGGACACCAGCAACTTCATTCCGGCAATAATGTCCCCCATGCCGGACACTAATAATTTCATTCCGGCAATAATGTCCCCCATGCCGGACACCAATAATTTCATTCCGGCAATAATGTCCCCCATGCCGGACGCCAATAATTTCATTCCGGCAATAATGTCCGCCTTGCCGGACACTAATAATTTCATTCCGGCCATAATGTCCCCCATGCCGGACACTAATAATTTCATTCCGGCCATAATGTCCCTAATGCCGGACACCAGTAATTTCATTCCGGCAATAATGTCCCCAATGCCGGACACCAGTAATTTCATTCCGGCAATAATATTCCCCATGCCGGACACCAGTAATTTCATTCCGGCAATAATGTCCCCCATGCCGGGCACCAATAATTTCATTCCGGCAATAGTGTCTCCCATGCCGGACACCAGTAATCTCATTCCGGCAATAATGTCCCCCAAACGGAAGCCAGTAATTTTATTCCGGCAATAATGTCCCCCATGCCGGATACTAACAATTTCATTCCGGCAATAATGTCCCCCATGCCGGACACCAATAATTGCATTCCGGCAATAATGTCCCCCATGCCCGACACCAGTAATTTTTTTAGGCAATGATGTCCCCCATGCCGAACACCAGTAATTTCATTCCGGAAATAATGTCCCCCATGCCGGACACTAATAATTTCATTCCGGCCATAATGTCCACAATGCCGGACACCAGTAATTTCAATCCGGCATTAATGTCCCCCATGCCGGACACCAGTAATTTCATTCCGGCAATAATGTTTCCCATGCCGGAGACCTAGAAGTTTGTTATGGCAATAATATCCGTACGGTAACCAGTGTCCCTCAGTTGTTTTAGACTGGTAACGCTGTGGTAACCCTGGTGGCAGCTTTGCAAAGGACACCGATTGACCTGAAAATGTGCTTTCCGTTCTAGGTCCCCCATGTAACATTCTGGCCAAAAGGTTACGGTTTTGGAGATGGTGGCAGGGGGGACACGGCAAAAATGTCCGGGGGGACATTTTTGCCGGTCACACTCGAGTCACTGCTTGATGCAAATACCGAGACTGCGAATTTCTAAAATAAAATAGGTTCTGCATGTGCTCGAAGTATTGCCTTGGTGCAAATACCGAAAATGCAAACTCCTTAAAGAATTTAAAAATTTTACATATGTTCGAGGTATTACCATGGTGTAAATACCGAAACTGTGAATACAGTGAGTTAGTCGTCAAAAAAGTCAAATTTAAATTCCGATTTCAAAACCTGTTGTTTTTTTCAGTTCCGGATTTTTTGTTCTTATATTTTGTAAAATGTTTTATCCTTTTTGAAAAAATGTGCGATTAATTAATAATGTGTGTTAAGTTATACTGTTACGATCTTACTCTGTTACCTTGACTATAAGTACTAATTTCGTGTTCTTCAGCAATGGATCCGGTTGTTGTTGTGTATCCTTGTAAGGGTTACGGTGTATATTAATGCAGCAATAGCAAAATAATTGGTAATTCAGAAAGTGCCTTCCATGATTGTTAACAATGGACAAACGCGACCGGTTGATCTATTACTCGATTTCGCGAGTGTATACGTGCTCGAACCGCGATCGATGCGGCGACATTTTTCCGTTAAGGAAAGCATCAGGGACCAACGAAAAGCTGGACAATGACAAAAGTCTGGATGGCGATATGGAGAAGTTCCATACAAAGATTTGTTCTGGGACACTTTTAGCATATTACGAATGCAACAGCTGCCACTTCCAGAAACGCGGCATAGACAGCGTAATCTCACACATCCGAAATAAAGGACATAACCTTGAAAACCATCAAAATCCCGCAGAGTTTGGTAAGCTTGATTCTTATTCATTATTATCATTTACATTGGACCGGATGATTACATCTAAATTGGTTTACATTTTTATTTGGCTTAGTACATAGCACGAAATTCGTATACATCCACGGCAACTTTCGCTGTCGCGCACTCCCGAACAACTTTTTTCATTGCTTTATGATATTTTGTAAACAAAGAATTGGTATAAATAGGGGAAAAACCGATTCTCCTACAAAGTTGGCACGAAAACGCACATTACTATGCAGATCGTTTTGACACCGAACTAGCCTTCTACCATTTTTTTTAAATTTCCAAAAAAAATTTTAAGTTTTTTAAAATCATTTGAAATTTGAAACAAAATGGTGGAAACCACCTTTACCGTCATGTGCGTTTTCATGCCAAATTTGAAGAGCGTCGGTTCATAACGAGACTTTTGGTACCCTTCCGCGGGTTAAAACTTTGGAATACTATTTCATTAAGAACTCCCGAAACGGATGTTGCTCGCACAAACGTTTTTTTTGGCCAATGTATACGAATCCTTTGTCTACAAAATATAAAGCAATGCAGTAAAGTGTTTGAGAGCGCGCGTAACTTTGTCAGAGAGTTCAGCCATGCTTTTCTGGTTTGGCGGAAGCGCAATCTTGTTTTATATGTAATGGAAAGCCTACGATAAATGGGTTTTGTCATGATGGAATTGGGTCATCCGGACCTACCCAACAGTTCAGAAATCCCGTTTGCTCTGAACCTAAAACTTTTCGACCGCATGAGATTATGCGGGCACAGTATTCTGTATCTTTTAAATTTTATTTGCACTGCTTATTCAAAGTTCTCACTGTCGCCGTAAAATGAGGGCCCTGGCCGTGTATTGGCTAATAAATAACCGCAAAGTACAGGCCTCGTATGTCGCATTGCAAAAACCTCACGGTTTTCTTTCATCCAAAATTTCTCAAGTGGTATTTTGAATCTCTGTTTTTAAGGAGAATATTTGCCGTTATGGGGAAACATTCAAGTGAGATTTAAAGCCAAGGACAAAGTGAAAGATCGGTTGCCATTGGAATCGATAATGGTTAAAAGAGAAAATGAATTCTTACGATGGATGAAGTTCACGAATATAATTTATGAAAATGAGGCATATGAATTGCGAAAAGATGAAGATAAGGCAGAAGAATTGTTAGATGAGTTAGAACCTTATATTGAATGCTTGGCGTGCAAAAAACGGTTGAGTTATCAGCGCAAAAATCTTGTGGAGCATTTTACGGAGAGGGACAACAACTTCGTGTGCCTTAATCCCATCGGTAAATACTGCGTAGTGAGTAGACTTTCTATGATGCGCATATAATCACAGCGAAAAAAAGTGATATTAATATTGATCCGCCACCAACATAAAGTATAACAGTACCTTATTAGAACAATTCTCTGATAACTTCGTTTTCCTATAGAAGTGGAACGCCAGGACGGTGTTCAAAGCGATCATCAGCTAGAGGCTATTCTTGAAGATCGCAGAGCAATCCAAATGAAATATCAGAAGGAACTTGAACAGTATACGAGGGACCACGAGAATGCGCTTAACACCAGGAGCTCTGAAGCAACTATTGCAGCGCTTGAAGAGTGGAAGGAAAAGGCGCAAGAAAACCTGGATTTTGCCACCAGGAAGGTCAACACGCTCACGAAGAGAATCGCATATAGACATCAAGATGACCCATCTGTAAATGCAACTCGTGAGTACACAAGGCCGAAACAGTAATGATATTCACTGTTTCACTGTACTTACAATAAGCGGTACTCTTATGCACTTTCCTAATTACGATTGGATCCGTTTTTCACTTTTTACGGCGGGAATTCACTCTCGTACAAACCATGATTAATTGTAACCTTCGCCGTAGGTTAAAAGCGGCCAGTATTTAGTTTTCCCATTGTGAGTTTACAATGCAGACGCAAGCATACGTTATATATATGCACGTGCGCAGTATACCTAGATTCTATGTACATTCTATCTAGATCTTTATTATCACAAAAAATGGAAAGGGATACGCCAACCCAACTTAACCGTACAGGAACAGCAAAAACCATTCCCAGAATCCGAAAGCCCATATTCCAAAACCCGGCCAGACGGTTTCACTTTTTTCTAAAAACTCCTTCTAACAGAGCAAACCAGCCAAAGCGATCGGCAAACCTCAACAAACTATAGTATCTCCATACTTTAGTAAAGTGCATCGGTACTTTGCTTAAATAAGAAATTAACTGCTGCTATGTTCGAAATTGAAGATTTAAATTAAGATGACCTTTCGTACCAAATTTACATACATTACTACCATTTTCTATCTAACATTACAACGCCTAAAATAAAATGACGTTTAGCACATATGACATACTGTAGGCCACTACTACTGTGTTTTTTCCAAGTAATACAACACATCAGCCCTGGGCAGTTATGGAAAATGCACCCACCGTTAGAGTTACGAGTTACAGGTAGCGTGAGAGTTACTCTACGAGTTACGCTATCTGTGCAGGTAAAACCGAGTTTTGAGTTATACCGCGAGTTACGATACCATAAACAATATATATACAAATTTTAGTGGAGGCATGTTAGAGTTTAGTTTTTTAAGTAGCGAGTTACGCTACATAGTTACGTTAAAACTCGATAACTCGCTTTGGTAACTTTAAAAGTCAATAACTCGCACAAAGCTTTTGGAGCGTTTTACGGAGAGGGAAAACGACTTCGTGTTCCTTAATCCCAATGGTAAATACTGAGTAGACTTTCTATGATGCGCATCAAATCACAGCGAAAAAAAGTAAGTAATATTAACATTATTCCGCCACCAACATAAAGTATAACAGCACCTTATTAGAACAATTCGCTGATATATAACTTCGTTTTCCCATAGATGTGGAACGCCAGAATGATGTTCTTCGGCTACAGTCTATTCTTGAAGATCGCAGAGCAATCCAGATACAATATCAAACGGAACTTGAAAAGCATAAGAGCGACTACGAGGATTCGCTTCAAACCGACGGCCCTGAGGAAACTAGAGCAGTGTTTAAAGAGCGGATGAAACAGGCTGAGGCAGTGTTTAAAGAGCGGATGAAACAGACGCAAAAAAACTTGGATTTTGCCTTGGGGAAGGTCAACACGCTTGAGAAAACAATCGCAGAGAGGCATCAAAATGACCCCTCTGTAAATGCAACTCGTGAGTACTCAAGGCCGAAACAGTGATGATATTCAGTGACAATGTGTGGTACTCGTATGCACTTTCGTAATTACGATTGGATCCGTTTTTCACTTTTTACGGCGGGAACTCACTGTTTGATTTGTAACCTTCGCCATAGGTTAAAAGTGGCCAGTATTTAATTTTCCCACTGTGAGTTTACAATGCAGACGCAGGTAGTGCGAGAAGGGCAAGACCTCATCCAGTTGATTTCAGCGTTACGCTACTCTTCTCTTATGCTAAAATTAATATTGTTGCATCAAAAACTTGGTTTGTCAGCAAGGAACTTACTGCATCAGCTAAAAGAAAATTCCAAATTGCAGACAAAAGCAGCACCTCAAGTGGGCAAGATCAGATTAGAAGAAATTCCGAGATGATCATTGAGGGCGAGCAGGCCATAGCGTCTCTCTTCAGTCTAGAAACCATGTGCGCTGAGTGTGGATTCCCGTTAAAGCCAAGCTCTTGTCCGGGCACGACTGAATTTCTAAAAAATCATGACGAAAATATGAGCTATGCTCTAATGGCGCATCCAGATCACAAGGATCTGCAATGTAAAGCGAAAACACTGCGATTTGACGCAACGTGCCTGGTCGATGGTTGCCCAGAAGTTATAAGAAATATTACTCTAAATAATTTCCAAGATCTCGCCTCGCATCTCCGAGTTCATTCGGTCAAGGTTCCGATATCGGAGCACAAATTGATATCAAAAGCCCCGGCTCCTTTCCCAAATCCCGTCATGAGTGTTGCAAGATCCCCGGCAAAGTTTACGCCGTCAAACAGAAGCACTCTCCCTAGAGAACTTGCTTTGAGTAGCGGTAAGTTATACTGTGTTAATCTCAGCACCAATCTGTCAATACCATTGACATCTGACGGTGTGAGATTAACATATTATGTACACCAAAGTGACCACACTGTGATATCGGACAGTTTCAGTTGATGCCACTAAAGGCCGATTTTATAACTTGGGAATTTAATGGTAAAGGTCAGCTGCACCTGGGTCGAGTAACGAGAAAATGCGCAAAGAAGCTCGATAAATCAGCGCAAAAGTATAGAAAGTAAACCCAGTACATTTAGGCGTCACAAAATAAACCGAGCATACCAATGTATGCCTGTGATTCATATCACCGATTAACCGAATTTTTTTCGCTTAGTACGAATAACTCGACTTTTCTGAACAATTGTTCACTTACACTTTACCTGCTGAAATAACTGCTCACCAACGCTTTGTGAGCTGCGGCGAGCAACAGTCCCCCAGTAACCGACCGAGCCGGGTGCTGCAACTCGCCATGCTTTATAAGCGATCACTTCGACGATTTTCTGCCTCCTCTAACCACTATGATCATAGAAGTTCCCACCACACATATCGGCTCTGCTGTCGCTGTGTAAATGACACATGCGAAAATAAAAGTAAATTAGCCTAGCAAACAATTTTCAGTAGATTATGGATTAATCAAATTAAACGTAAACTTCTCTTCTTCGCCTTGGCAAGCCCCACATATTTCGTGCCAACTTGAATCATCTAGGGAAGTCGTAGTGCAATGGCTTGGCTGGCTTGTGCTGCGTCACTCGTTGCTGTTTTTTTAGCAACGGATTTGCAAGTAAACTGTTCACGATTTTTAAAAATTTCGAATGCTATGTATAGAGTACGTTGTGCTGAATTGGGTAAAGAAAAAAACCGGAAGAAAATCGGAATCGGTTTGTGGAGTTTGTAATAAATGGTAGCCACTTTGAATGACCATCACCCATTCACTTACTGTATGTAGCAATTTGAACGACCGTAAGAACAGGAGTTAAACTTGTATAAGTATAAACTTGTATAATGACTCGGGTGGCTTGGCTACAGTGTATCTTCTCTGTGTTCTTTTAACGACGCAATTGAAAAAAAATGGCTCAAGATTTATTTCATTTTAAAGTACTGTTTATAGAGTACAAACAAAGAAGGAACAACAACAACAAAGAAGGTTCGAGTTCGAGGTCGCGGAGACTTGGAGGTCGCCAGCTGTTTCTACTTTGTCCCAAACAAATTTCGCGCAATAAAAACTGCAGGTTCTTCGGGATCAATGCACTGCTACGAAATTTATCGAAAAAGCATTTTAAACTGCAATTTTTATTGCGCGAAATTTGTTTGGGACAACGTAGAAACAGCTTGCGACCTCCAAGTTTCCGCGACCTGTATAACAGAGGCAGCCATAAGTCGGCTGTCCGTGGTGATCTCAGCGAGGGAGGGCGGTCAGATGAAGATCCTGTCTGTTGAGGAAATTCCGAAAAATGGCGATGGAGCGGAATCGAACCGCTGGCTCACCGAGTGAGATCCACGTAGCACAGCCACTATGCCATCGCCGCTGTTGGCGAAGATCAAGATATTTGTGCTTGAGCTTGAGCCAACCAGGTAGGCGGCGGATGGGCGGCTGCTGTGTGTAAAGAGGATTCTCCTCTTACACCTCCAAGTCTCCGCGACCTCGAACTCGAGAACCCACTTTAATTTATACCTTAAAATTGCCCCTCCATAATTTTTTCTGCCTCATTCGGCTTAGATAATGGGGTCCTAACAAAAGAACAAAAAATTCGGAGCGTACAGGTGGAATATACGCTCTACGGGGTGGAAATTTACTAGTTTACTGCTGTGCTGTAATGCATCCACGTAAATTATCCCCCGGACAAAATATTTGGAAACGTTTTTGACAAATCTTTACACCAAAATATAGATTAGCCACTATCGCTATGAACGACTATATATCAACCATTCACTCGCTATAGGTGGCCATATGAACGACCGTGCGGCAGATGCGTCCCGGTCGTTCATAATTAGTAGCAAGTGTTTACTATATGTAGTGTGAGAAAGACTGGTAACCAACCGTTATACGTCATCACTCCCGCATAAACGGAAGGGCGGCTGCCATGGTGTCAGATGCGGGTTTTCACGCTTTTTATCAGTTTCTCAGCAGATTTCTGTTCTGTTTTGTTTCTTCCCCCTCCCCCCCCCCCCGAACTGGGATTTCTATATTCAATATACTGTAATAAAATCTCGGAAAGCTTTTTCGTCAAGGTATCTCTTAGAAGGGGCAATAGAGCTGTGAGGTTATGGTGAGCATGCACGCAGCGTTGCTTTCTAGTTTCTGTATGCGGCAGTGATGACGTAGCCGACCGTTGCGCAGTCGTTCAAACTATAGAAGTTCTTGGTCGCAGCGAAACTTGCCAATGACGTAAAATGGCGTTGCCGTCGTAGCAAAGATTTTGCCGCTCGGAAGTGCGTGATCCATGGTCGTCCATCCCATGGTCGTCCGTCCATGGATTAGGCGCTCACCTAATCCATTAACGTCTAAGAAGTTATTGTAACAAAACCCTTTTGCCGGCACAACGGTTCGATCGTAAGCCCATCAACGTTTCGTTCAAGACAATCGGCTACATATGGTCGGTCAGCCCACGAAAACGTGCATTAACAGCGATAGACGATAATTATGCAGTAATCCCGCCCCCTTCTATAAAGTAGAAGCAACTGGCATAGCTTTATTTCTAGTTAGTGTCGTATTAGGTTTTTTTTCGTACGATTATGATGCCAAAAGTTGTGATAGACAGCAGAATTTTTGAAAATGCCTTAATAATTTTGCAGACGAAGAACGCCGAAGAATCCCGGGTACCCCAACGTATCAACTCGCATTCAGTGATTTGGAGACAAAACCAACTGTTTTACCGTTTATTCACAATCAAATGGCCAAAGAGCACATTCATCTGAAATGCAAGGAAGCATTCCGCTATATTCCGGACCCGCGCAATGAGAAGGAGGCTGCAACAGCTTTTCGTTATGGCCAGTTTCCCTTAGCTCTTGTCAAAACAGGTGAGCTCGGAGAGCAGGTGGTCCATCCAAAGCAAAAGTGGAGGTATATCTTTGTGAAGCGACACGAAATGCAGAGATTACACCGAGCTATTGAACGAAAATTAAATAACCCCAGTGAAGAGTCATCACTTCTGGTGTGCGGCTCACCTGGCTCGGGCAAAACACTCGCGTGTTACGCATCAGCTCTTGACATCTTCAGAAGCAAAGATGATATAACCATTGTTTGGATCAGGCTCCAAAAATCTGAGACAGATGCAAGATGCGTAATTCTGTGGCATTCGGGCGAATCAGATTATCGTGCGTGGAACGTTAAAATGTTCGATTTTAAAAGTGATTCATTCGAGAAACTTTTGAACAAGGAAGAATGTCTGGCGAGTAATCAAAGTTATCCGCAACGTATACTGCTTTTTGTGGACGGAATCCGACACAAGGGTGAACTGAATATTGGTGGCGACTCTCAAGGACATATGGCGGAACTAGGGAAATTGTTCTTGTTGTGCAAAACATGGCGAAAAGATGATTTAGCAAATCGGCGCGTTATATACGTTTCTTCGAATTTTAACAGTTTACTGGAAAATCAAAGCGACGAACTGGAAATATTTTTTTATTTGTCGTGGACCAAAGAAGAGGTATTACGAGCTCTGGAATATAAACCATTTCTTTCTCAAGTTCATGGCAGAATACTTAAAGGGGAATATGAACCCGAAGATTTGAATACCGTGATGCCAGCCCTTCGTGACTCGGACTACGGAAACAAGCTTACCAGAGTCAAAGACAAACTGGAAGAGCAGTTCTACTCCACAGGATATTCAGCACGAGCGGCTTTTTTGAGTCATACAAAAGTGCTTTCGGAACTCTTAAGCGCATTGAGTGAATTAAACGATCGACAATCGATTGCGGCAACAGAACGGGATGAAAATGTTACGGCAGATGAGCGGCTACACCTTTTCGATCGGTTATATGCTTGCTACGGTAAACCGGATAGAGATCTACCCCGTGATTCTTCTCGTCGTGCTGACATTCAAATGGAACACGTGTCGGAGTACGTCAGACAGGAATTGAGGTTGGCGCTTACTTTAACGGAAATCAACCGAATGGGGAGGCATGTATATGCAACGTCACCGACACTCTGGTGGCACTGGGAACAGTACGTATATAGGATCGTGATCGGGTCTGCTGATCGAACCTTTGATTTGAAAATCCTTTATGGCGACGTACAGGCGCTTGACTTCGAACTCAAAAAAAAATTTCATCTTGATAGACAGAAATTTTCTAAAACAGTGGAAGGCCAAGCGCAGTACCAATGCCACTTGGGTACAAGCGACTTGCGATGGCCGAAACAAGAAAAACCTTATTCGATCAGTGATGAAAAACAACAGCAAGGCAATATTCCCCAAAACAAAGACAATACTCCCCAAGACGAAGGCAATACTCCCAAAGACGATATCTACTTCAGCCGTGAAAATTTACTTCAGGCACAAAACAGATACAGAAATGTTTTCCAGCAACTCAGATGCGCTATACGCCAGAACGGGAAGAATGGGGCTGGAGACTATTACTTAATACCAATAAAAGAAAATCATCCTGGATTTGACATTGTCCATATCGGCATCGGTGAAAATGGAAGGGCTGTTATTCATTTTGCGGACATGACAATTATTGATTATAACAAAGCCTCTAAGAAAGACGTTGATAGCAAATGCAAAGAAATCTGCCTGTTCCTGAAAGTCATGGAACAATCTTATGTCCTCAGCGAGAATGCAGATATTAGCTGCATCGAGCACATCGAACTAATATATTTGGCACCCGGCGCGCTTGTCAACCGAAGGAATCCAATCATTATCCATGTAACGACTTCCGTAAGGATACGCACAAACGCTGCCTTCTCTCAAGGGGAGCAACTGGACGCTTTTCAGTTAAGTTTCGCGTTTTCAAGATGGATGAATACTCAACTTAGGCATTACCATCCGGGCTTCAGTCCAAGCTGGCGGCTGACTAGACGGTTTGGTGACGGCTTTGTGTGTGAGGAACCTTGAGTCGAAGAGTTTATCATAATTTTATGTACTAATTACCACATCGATTTGCAAACAACGGAATTATTTAATTGCATTTATTACATTTCTTATTTATGGCGCATTTATTTAATTGTTGAATTATGGGACGTAATTCAGATAACACATTAACAAATAATAGAAAATCTGATGCTTCTTTCTAGAAATTGTAATATTTAGGTAGTGTGATGGGTTAGAACTAGCTGCAGTATCCGCTATCAAGTCTTGTACGTTTCCAACAACTTTTTCTCTGACTACCAGTTCAGTAATCTTTGTATTTGGTTCATCGGAAAATAATTTAGCATACGGACTCATTTTAGCCGGTCTGTTCATCGGTCTGGCTGCCTTGATATTATTATTTCAGCAGTGCGTATACTGATCCGTCACAAGCATAAAAAATTGCGGAAAGAGCGGATAGAAAGGAAAGCGCAAGTTTAGTCGATGTGTTGTTGTTGTTGCATAAATATACAGCGTAGTCGATGATGTTGTTGTTGTTGTTGTTGTTGCATTAACATACAGCGTAGTCCTTTCAAGGACCATTGCTCCAACAAATGTAAAGTTATAAGAATTGCCAAGGTAACAGAGTAAGCATTTGACAGTAAAAACTAGTCGGTTATCATTGGATCACCGAAAGCTGTTTGAGAACTCCAAAACTTTAGAAAGCAGCGGCAACAACCACTTTATGTTAAGGAAACAAAATCCTGTAAAGTCAGCATGTTCTAGGAAAGTTCGCAACACAGTAAACGAGGGGTGCTTATAAATAGAGCAGTGATAGAAAAAGTGATATGTTGTTTCCGGCGCGTAGTCGATGTGTTGGTGAATTGAGGAATTTTCAGAGCGGATCGTATTTTCTGCTTAGCAACGATTATAAACTTATAACGCTTTTAATAGAAGCAAGTGAGATCTTTCCACCATTACATGGTAAACGGACTGACGTACTATACTAATCTTCCTGAGAGAAAGTCACATGTTGCACGTTACCAGTACTGAACTGCTCCAAATACATTTGTGACGCTGTGCTAAACATGACAGAACACGAAGGGATACGACGTGATGTCAGGAATAAAGTGGACACTGCACATTCATGTTGAGGAACAGAAGAAGCACGATGGTTTTTGTCATCAGTTCACCAGCTTGAGCACAGCAACAGAGGAAACACCACAGTGGCTCCATATGAGATCAGTAACCCTTATGTTCAAGCGTACGCATTTTTGCGTAGCATAACGCGGCCACGTTTAACTTTAGGCCAGAAAACGGGTGGACTGCTCTGATAATTAGCCGAAGCAAATAATATTATAATTTATATATTATATAACATTACTTATTATGAATAAGGGATGCAAAGCAGTTGACCCCTTTTGTGCCCCTGGCGAACACTGCGAACGCTGCGAATATAGGGAAGCGAGGTGGGATATAATTAGTTCCAATATTATATATCTGTGCTGCCGTCTGCTGGACACATTATTGCACTGACGCTCATGGCAAACCCAACCCCCCAGGTTTTTCATACGATTTGGTCGTACAAATGAATTAATTGTTAATAATTACTAACTGTTATTACTTTACTAATAACTCGTTCCTGGGACCACCGCGGGCTGTTGTTCGTGTACTTCTCTTAGCACACATACAATGGGGTTTACTGGTTAGATGTAGGCTAAGAATATAGTTTGTAGGTTCATTAAATTTTATATTTTCTTCGATTTCTTCTGCAGTATTCCACTTAGATTATTTTTAAAATAATTGCTGATTGCTTTTTTATTTGCATTTCTGTATTACGCTCTTAAGGTATAATTTCTAGCAGTACTTACTTAGTGGTCGTAGTAAGTACGTACGTTATTCGCATCAGTTAGTGCCCCACCTGCAGTTTCAGTCTTTCGCGCATATTCGCCAGATTCGCCAAGTTCATGTTAAGATTACAACGTATCCAGGATACGATAACATTACAGTACTGTATTGCAATTTTTTTTCGTAAATTTAAATATGATAAAATTATTAAATATTGAATGAGCAATAAAGGCAGTATCATTGATGTACCATACTCTAAAACCAATATGGAAAACTCTCACTTAGGCTGACTTTTAAAGCACCACTGGCGAACACTGCCAAATATGGGAAAATAAGACCCGGTATCCCGTTGGGTATCACTTAAACTGACCTTTAAAGTAACATTAGCGAACACTGCGAATGCTGCGAATATGGGAAATCAGACCCGGTATGCGGTTGCTTATGCTTCTCTTAGGCTGATCTTTAAAGTACCCTTGGCGACCGCTGCGAATGCTGCGAATATGGGAAAATCAAACCCGGTATCCCGTTGGGTATCACTTAAACTGACCTTTAAAGTAACATTAGCGAGCACTGCGAATGCTGCGAATATGGGAAATCAGACCCGGTATGCGGTTGCTTATGCTTCTCTTAGGCTGATCTTTAAAGTACCCTTGGCGACCGCTGCGAATGCTGCGAATATGGGAAAATGAGACCGGGTATGCTGATGGGTATGCTTACCTAGACTGGCCTTTAAAAAAACCGTTGGCGAGTCATACTGAATCTGGTGTAGGTTGTAGAAAGCACGCAAATTGTAAACTGCAAAATATTTAATGGAAACGGGCTGAATACTTAATCTAAATTCCGACCACCCGCCTGTAAAAATTCAAAATAAAAACATTAATTAAGTTTATTTAATCTGTTGTGAGGTTTCGGCTTGTTCGGAACAGAAAGTTTGTAACAAAGTCCCCTTCCCTTATGCAAAACATCAGTAACACTACCTCGTACTGCTAATTCAATTCTTGTTTTATTAAGGGTACTTTCCAAGCTGTAATAATGTTAAGATATTCTGGATACACTTTAACCTGAACATGAACTTGGCGAATCTGGCGAACACATGCGAATATTGAAACTGCGGTTGGACAAAGACTGATGCGATACAGTAATATTTTGCGTACGTAGTATAAGCCGTTTACGATGTACAACATTCCTGGAGTCTGCCATGACCGCCATCACATTATTGATAAAGTAGTACAAGTAAGTACGTGACAAACAATACTAGCACTAATACATATGCCAGCCTCGTTTCCCCATATTCGCAGCGTTCGCCAAGGGCGCAACTGAGGTCGACGACATTACATGATTAATGAATTTGTGCAAAACGTTTGTAATAAGTGGCAGTGCTGTAGGCTAAGCAAAAATGCGTACGCTTGCACATTAAAAGGTTACTGCGTACCCTACATCAATTGGGTTACCGATCTCATTCTTTACCCTAGAGGGACCATACTGTCAAATGTCCCGTTGCATGTGACAATAAATCTCAACAAATTTTCAAGGTACGGTGCAAATTACGATACTATCCGCAACTTGACATACTTAATAGGTACTTTCAGTTCTGACTGCCTTATGATAATGCAGCCCAACGGACTGTGCGTCATGGTCCTATGTGTCATTCAGAGATAACGCAAGCGTTGTGCATTGTTTTCTTGCAACAGTCAACACATGCCCACTTTAAGGCAACATTGCCAAACGGAAAATCTAGTCTCGACTAGATTTTCCGTTGGCCATCGTTGACTTATGCGTGCATTGTGCGTGTTACGCGTTACACGGTGTACACGAGTGCAATGCAACTGCAATGCATTGCACGTTAATGCTGTTAATACTGTGTTATTGACGCTGTGTAATAACAAATTCAGATTTAACATAATTACAACGCAGAGAGATATATGCTACCATTAATTGATTGACTTTGAGATGGCATTCATTACTAATTAGGTGGTAATTTTGCGCAATAATTATTAATTTACAGTCCCTTCTCATGTTAATTGGGACAAATTCTTCATTTAATTATAACTGCTGAGCGAAGCTCACTTTGTACGTATTGAGAAATAAATTCCGTTAATTAATTTAGCAATATTAAAGCTAACTCGATAGTCATTCAAGACGGCAGTAATAAGCTTTACCGATGTACAGTATTGAAGATAACTGGATATACAGTGCGCGGCAGCCAAGTTGAAGACAGTGCAAACGAAACGCGTCTGCTAATTTCCCTGTAGTCTGGGCTGTTTTGCTCACTTGTGTAGTTGTACAGAATTTTATTCTGAGTTTATTGAAATGTAGTTAACGTTGAAATGTTTAGAAATGCCTCGACAAGTTGATTTTGAACGTAAGGCTGTAGTGATTTCCCTACATGCAAGTGGGTTATCTATTCGGAAAATTGTAGAAAAATTATCTGAGCTCCAGAAACCACTCAGTAAGAGCACGGTTGAAAGGATCGTTAAGAAAAATCAAGCTCTACTAAGCGGGAGCCCTCCAGAGACGAAAAATTTGCCACCGCAGAACGAGCCTACAGTGTGCATCCAGAAGAACGTCCGGAAAGTGTCCAAATTGATTGATTCTCCGAATCCTCCTTCTATTCGGGAGATTGGGAGACGTTTACGGATCTCTGATAGATCTGTGAGACGAATTTTGGCCAAGAATTTGGACGCGAAGCTGCTGAAAAAGAAGAAGGTCCACGCGCTATCGGCGACCCAGGCTGTACAACGGGCCCAGAGCGCCAAGACGTTTGTAAGGTACTTGTCGCGACGAAAACTGAAATTTCTTCTTACGATGATGAGATATGGATTACTACTGATGATTTATCCGGGCAGACGGACTACTACTACAAACGGAAAAATGTTGTCGTTCCTGAAAGTTGGCAAAAGCTACCCCGCAAGAACTGGCCCAAAAAAGTGATGCTGGCAATGGGCATCTCCTGGCGCGGACAGACTGCGATGTACGTTGTTCCTCCCGATACGAAAGTTGATCACAAAGTATTCATCGACCAAGTTCCGAAGCCAATAATCAGGAAAGACGTTCCCTGACTTTACGGATCGGACGCCAAGAAAGTGGTCCTGCACATGGACAGTGCCCCCTCCCATGTGGCCAAAGATTTGTCCAGTGGCTGAAAGATGAAAAAGTGAAGTACATTCCGAAAGAAGAATGGTTAGCGAATTCACCAGATGCTGCGCCGATGGACTACGCGGTCAACTCGATTTTTAAGCGAATTTTGAAGTGCTGTGACGCGCGAGATCACAAGCTGTTAAAATTCGAAACGCACTCAAATCGTGGAAATCGCGTATTCTGTGTGTAATGAAAGCTAATGGCTATCAATACGAACATATCAGGATCAAAAATGTACTTAGCTTAATTGCAATAAAATGCTAATCAAGTGCCGCGCACTGTACAGTAACACTTTCGAGCTCTTTTTTGCATGTGCGATGTGAAGATGCATAAAGTACATGTACTCGGTTGTTTATCAACAGGCTGACTTAGCGTAAGTTCGGTCATTCACTTATCGCGGCAGTGACAGTTGGTATGTTATCGCATTATTAGGGAATTTTAGATTTCACATGGTTTAGCCTCCGTTCACTAGAAACTACCGCGTCAGTACGTAGGTAAACAGTACGTTAGCAGACTTAACAGCGTTTAAAATGCTTGTACGGATGCACACTTGCAGTGACGTACAGCTGAAAATTAAATCGAATCGAGAGTGCCGAGACGACTCAGGAGAGCGTGACCAACCTGCTCTCGGGGAGGCGGTTAGAGCATACAAAAAAGATCCACAGGCAGCAAACGCTGGCTTGTCGCTCTAACATATGGCTGAGCCGTTGCACAGATCCACGTACGGCAGACAGTTTTTACGCGTCAGCCAACGACGTTGGCTTACGGCGCCTTACGTCGCGAACGGACGTAAATCAACCCGTAACGCCAACTTCTACCCGAACGTCGAACTGGACGTAACTTGTTTTGTGAAATCTAAAATTCGCTATTGGGTAGTTTTTTCCGCGTCATTTGTTGTTACTCACTGCCACTTGGCTTTTTGTAAGTCTGCCTTGCGGTAAGCCAACAGAAATGAATCTCTATAATAATACATATCCTTCACCTAATGGGCTCTGTGCAATGCAAGATAAAAACAGCCAACAGGAAAAGTTGTAATACAATAATAGGTTAAGCATCCCGGTGTGCCGAAACCCAGCGACAGGCACAGCATAGCTCCGGGAGCGGATGAGGGCCAATTGCCTTACTGACCTGGATGAGCCGCACCATGGGTTGAGATAAAATCGGTAACTGTAAGCTCCATTGCTCAAAGAGCGCCATGATAATACAGTGGACACTGAACAAGTAAACCAGTGATCGGTAAATAACGTTGGGTCGTTGGTCATCCGCATAATCAGTCAGAAAGGGTAGTACAGTGCAGTCATATAATGTGGGAGAACAGCGGAGTTAACCATGGCTTTTACTGTATTACCATTAAAAACCAGATCACCACTATCCAGGAAAAGAGAAATAAAAGTCCGAGAAATACTTATTTTCGCCGTCATTAAGCCCAACAAAAAATTCCGTTCCAACACCAATTCGGTACCGATTCAAAGTTGTTACACTGGATTATAAGTATCTCGTCATACCGCCCTAGTGATTGTCGACGTACCCGCTTGTTTTTCACGTCGAGCCATGGATGCGCCAGCGATATCCGCCTGTTTCCTGTGGCATGAATTGCTTCATTTCCGCATAGGAAGCCGCCGCACAGCGGAAACGATTTCTCAGGTTGAAACTGTTAATCAAAGACCATTCTCATCCTACGGAATGCATATTATTATTATGTTATCATCTGGCTGTCACCACTTTCTTTAGTAATGAAGCCGTGCAGCGCCTTGATCAGCAAGCAGCTCGCAATGCATTAAAGCGCCGTGCAAAGCACATCTTTGTTAGCAAGCAAGCAAATCAGCCCAAGCAGCATTCTGCAAGAGATGATTCATGGGAAAACTCTTTGCAAAACAATCGCAAATTACTGCCACCAGTGGCTTGGCTCGACTGCCGGTGACGGTGACCTTGCATGGCTTTTTAATACTGTTTGTCACTGGTGATCTTCAGATTTGTTAGCTACATATACGTATAATGGCGCTCTGTGTTGTGAAAATGCCAACTGATACTGATATCTGAACTCGTTTAGCATTAACTGATCTTATGATTTTTCACCGAGACTACGTTCAATAAAATTAATGCAACAGAGCTTACTGAAACAGTCGCCACTCGCCAGTCGCCGAATTCGCGTAGAGGGGCAGTCCTGTACCTTCTGCAGCCTGTTGGCGACACTTTCTGTACGCGTCCCGTGAAAATTAAACACGAAGCGTCACAGTTTTTCCAGCCTGAAAGAATAATTCATCGATTTATGACAAATCCAAGATATACTGCTTACTTACGCGTAGAATAATGCAGAACAGCTAAGTTACAAAATATAAATTTATCTAAATTTTATAAATGAACAGTGTTGACCATAGAGGTGGTAACGCACAGTCACGCATGAGCGTGCATATCGGCTTTTGACGTCTGCTTTATACAGTATAAATTTTGAGACGGACGTACCGTAACGTGCAAAACATGGTGTGAAATCGTGCAGGACATGGAATAGAGAAGCTGGGGGATGCGGCTGCACGGTGTAGGACCTTTATTTGACTGCAAAAAAATATTAGCTAATTAACATTCAGCTCTGCCAAAAAAGATAGGCTCTCCTAGTTCAGCGGTATGACGAAGTTACGATTACGGGAGCAGTCCCGTCCCACTAAGGACGACAGTAATCAAGGTTACACCAAAACTGGGATAAAAAGAATTGCGCATGTATTGCTTCAGGAGTGGTGGGAAAACATCGATCAGTGATCGCAACAGCAACTGATAATACTGTATAACATAGCATGCTAACTGAGCAGATAATGATGATCAAGTAGAGGACACCGCGACCTGCGCCGGGTTCTGTAAACAGGGGATCGAAATCCTATCTCAAATGATCAACACACTCGACAATTGGCGAACGAGGAATCTCGTCAGAGAAATAAAACAGCGTTGCGTGTCAGTTGAAACACGAAATGTGTCCTTCCGTTGCTAAGCGCAGACACGCAAGTACAGACAGAGTCATTAAAAAGTACTGAGTTACGTTTTGCTAGCAGGCTGGTTAGCATATTCTACTCTAGCGCCGTGTGAGTTAAGAATTGGGCAGTGAATGTACGGTGGATAAATAAATTTAATATACACAATGTTTTATATAATAATCTATCTAGTGCTATTTGCTCAAGAGCAAAATGCACCGGAATTCGAAAGCGATCGTGCTATCCAAAATTAAATTACTAGTAATTTTACTTCACATCGCGAAAGCTGTGTGTGATTGGTCTGAGTTTCAGCTAAGGATCGGAAATTTGTCAGGCTGAATAATATTTTGGCTGAACCTGGCATCTTCTGAAAATTCCAGGAACTCGACTTTTGAGAATCTGCATTTTCCCATGTTCAGGGAGATGCTGAGAGTGCTTGAAATTCTAAATTTACTGTGGTATCATGACGCCCTCCTCTTGTCTAGCAGTCGAATAAAAATTTTTGAATTTATGCTTTTTTATGCTTTTTATGCCGCTCCTACTGCTATTCCAATCGCATAGCATTTTGCCATGTCAAAATGCTTAATTTTAGATATTGAAAATTCCGGTAAAAAGATGGGCACCAATCCGATTAACCGTGTATTCTGAATTTTGCCACGAGCGGCAATCTGTCATCGCATGCGCTCTAATAATTATGACATGGCTGCAGTTCAGGCCGTAGCGGTTGGGAACGGGGCGGGGGTAAATACGGCCAACGCACCCGGCAGGAAGGGGCCAACGCTGTCCTAGAAGGCTGGGGCCCTGAGCAGTCGCTCGTGGTGCAGCAGCTGCCGGCGGTCAACGTGGCTGGAGGTGGAGAGGTGGCGAACGAGCAGGTCTCAGAGGGTGGATGGTGAGATTCGTCCTCGGAAAGAAACGGGGAGAAATCGCCGATCAGAAAATAAGAGTATAAATTCAGTAATTCTCATTGTAGTAAACATAATATAAAACTTTTCGAAAAGCTCTTTGAAATTACATCGGAAATCTTTGTAAGAGAAACTATTCTGAAGATATCTTGTGAACTGTTTAAGTAAACATCCATGACTGAGAAAAAGGAGTGAAAAAACCGTTATAAATTTCCTTTTCGAATAGTCTAGAAAAGTCTTCTTCTGCTTAAATAATTGGGTTTTGTGCCTAAGTAATCATACAGAAGATTCACAATAGTCTGTACGAAGACAGGCTTAGTATTCGCGATTACCTAAAAAACTAGCGAGAATTCGCGATCACCGTGCCCGGGTTGTGCAGATCAGTCAGTCACCAGCCAGCCACCAGGAGAAGGCAGTCCAGTACAATGGCTGTGTGGAGTGTCACTGGACTGCATTTCCTGGGTGGCTGGCTGGTTACTGACTGATCTGCACAACCCGGGCACAGTGATCGCGAATTCTCGCTAGTTTTTTAGGTGATCGCGAATACTAACTGCCTGTCCTCGTACGCATACAAATTACTGTACAGGGATAATAAACCTAATTGACGAGATATTCAGTTTTCAGTAAATAAAATGATATAATAAATTAAATTAATTATGATTGTTTCTTGTGTTTCGTGGAGCACCCAAATCCTACGTTCCGTTGAGTGATCTCCCTCAAAAACACGATTGTGCATGGTCGTGATAGTCTTCTCGGCAGTTTCGACGAGGCGAGTTTCGACATTGGTTTTGCAAATCCATGCTCTTAGTCGCCTGCACCTTAAGCCGTCACCCGTTTGTTACAAGTAATTTATGATACCCCCTCCAGACGTGTTCAGTCCGCTTGGGACGGGGTTTTTTTAAAGGTTACAGAAAACGCAATTAGGTAACAATTTGTTCAGTGCACGCTCAACGCTTTTCGATTTTGGATATTACAGTATATTGTGCTGTGTGATGAACTTGAAACGTTTTGCCTCGATTTCTGCGCTCATTTTTACAGCAACCTTTGGTAATTTTATTGGCTTAAATTAAATAAATAAATAATAAATCATGAAAACCAGTATTTCTAGTGCTTGTGTAAAAACCACGAAAAAGAAAACACCCGTTCTGAATCACGGAGTTACGTCATCTAGGCTACGCTAACACGATCAAATCGCTGGGTAATCAGGTTACAGTTACAGCCATCCCTTTTCACAACGGAACATTACATGAACGCAGCTCGCTCTCCAGCTGCTGCAACTCCGAAAATTCCCCCGGCGACATAGCTCCGCCCACGGTCTACCAACATCACAGTGAGTCTGACGACATCCCGGACAGCCGTTGCAACGCCCCATACATATCGTACCCGCATGTAATCTGACAGCACCGCACCGAGTCTCCGGTCTCCAAGTGCCGCAGACAATGCGCGTTCTCCGTGATAACCGCCAGGAAACCCAGCACATAACCCAGCTTAAGGCCTATGGTCCCGTTCCCGTGGATCGGGCAGACTTGCGCAGACGACCGTTCCCGGGTTTCAGAATATCACACACTATCACCGCCGTGGTGGAGAACGGATTTAATCCGCATTCTCTGGTGCACTGCCCATTGCGTCGTTTGTCTCCCGGAGAGCCAGGGACCACACGCATGTGATCTTTAAGCGCGGATGCCCGGCCTCCATCAGCGGTTTGGAAAAAGAGATCACTGAGGAATCCAGGATCAGGCAGATTGATGGGAAACTACACAAGGGTCCGTAGTTTCCGTTTGGCGTGGAAAAGGCACCCGAGTCGTCAACGGCCGGACTGACGACCATCCACAGAATCTCGTGTCCGCGCATTTCTCGGTGAAGAGGGTCGCGAGATTACTGGGGAAACATCCATATGTGCTGTACGTGTTGGGGCCGGCGCACCGCGTCAACCCGATAGTCAGCTCCGACGCTGCTGACGGCGGCTAACTGCTCATCGATCGGAAGGATCTGCTGTCCGGCGCAGAGTCGGAGGCCGGCGGATTCGTCGGGGCAATGTATAGGATATGACATTCCATGGTGCGTTCTTCGGCTTTCTTCAGCCGTAGATCACCCAAAACCAGGGCGCACGCCCAAAACCAAACCTACTGTTTGTAAGCGGCACGCAGCATCGTTTTGCCGCTCCCGGCATTTCTCCTCGGGTGTGGTAAGAGGTGGTGGCGTGGCGGGCCGATCGTTTTCCTAAAAATCCTCCCTCCCGTTCCCTTCTTTCCGGAACATGACGGTTAAGCATTTCACCATAGAGAAAGATTCCTTGCGGCTTATGTCCAGGAATCTATGGCGCTGAAGTAGACTGACACTGTGTCCTCATCCTCGTTAAGGAGTTGGTATGCGTGGAGCTGGGGACCAGGTTTACGGGAAGTCTGGCGGAGCTATTTAAAATTGGCTAGAAAATCAAATAAAACCGCTGAAAATAATTATACAGCATAACATAAATTAAATGCTTGTACGCTCTTAAAAGTGTTTGCGGAAATTTGACTCACGTCTTTTAAGAATTTAACTGGCGCCTCCAGAACGAAACCGGAATCTGCAAAAGTCCAAATAGCCATATAAAAGAGAAACAACTGTTTAAAATAGATTCAACCTCAGTGAGCATTAACAATTCAGCAATAACGAAAATTATTAATAACATATACTGCTTTGGCAGATTTACTTTCCCATTTCTGCATGGTGTACTAGTGCTTCTGATACGTTTTGGTCAAACAGTGCCCGCAAAAAGCGCTTGCACTTTTCTGGCAAGTAATTATGAATACTCGTACTGCTTTTATTCCGATTTTCAAAAATTTCGCGTCTTTTACTGGTCTAATAAGCAGCTTTAAACAAGATGAAACTTTCATATGTAGCTTGAGCATATACTGTACATACCAAGAACACTGGAACTGTCGCTTGGTCCATCAGTTGCGTTTCGGTTGCGTCCACAACGCTCCTGGGTGGATGCGTACGGCGGTGACTATCCGTCCAGAACATATCCCTGATTGCGGCACTCCACTCTTCTCTGCTTATCCCTCACCATTCAGCACCCGACCGTGTCAGGAAGTTCCCCATCTCCCGCCGTACCCACTAGATTCTGCAATAATCCAAAATTTGGGTATAATCCACCGCCAAAATGCACCGATTCACCGGAATATTAAGACATGCGTGCACCAAAGATTGGGCAGAGATCTCGGATGTGGATACACTAAAGAACATGCTTTCCGTCGCCCGTGACCTTTGAGCTGTCACATTCCACGCGTAACGAAACAGAAAATGCAGAAGGATCTTGCCCATTCCGTTACCGATTACAGCCGCCATGATGGTAGTCGGCAAATGATGATGCCGATATCCGAGTTTCACGAAGGAGTTCTACCGTTTGCATTGGGCGTCGAAATGCGGATGAGGCTTCCGGCGGCGAGACTTCTCTTTTATCACACATTTCCCAAATTTTCCTGACTCTCCGACAGATACTTGCGCAAAGCCAGCCATTTTGCTTCAAGGAACTCCGCCGCAGAATTCATAATATTATCCAGCTCCCACGTTTATAACAGATACGCTGATGTGTACACCATGGAAGTACAGAGTACTTTCGGGCAATATGAGCAATACAGTACGTACTCTGTAATTTCCCGGAAAGCGGGCACGCTGAATGGCTTAAGCGCTGCTTAGCAATAATAACGATAATTTCTGTGCTTACATAGTTGTTCCTTGGGCTGCGATTTGCAGCGTACGGCTCAGAACTTGAAGCTATGAACCTGCATTCATGATTACAGTAAACAGACACCGCATACCATTGTCGTTATTAACTTTAATCTATGTACGGCACTTATGTATTGTGTCTGTCTACGAGTACGGTACTTATGTGCAATGTAGGACTAAATGGTCGCATAGCCCCATACCCAGCATTCTGTACGCAAGCGGTGCAGTGCACTTGTACGAACCGGATATTTTGAACTCAGTCGTACGGTGCACTGCGCTGCATGCGTACTGAATGTGGAGATTTTGGGTATGCGACCATTTTGTCCTAAGCTGTATAGTGTCTATCTATAGGGTCTCCTATACTACAAGTGTTGTATCTTCACGAAGCGTGGCGCGTCTCATTTTACTGTATCTTATCTCGAACTCAGCCTGACACCGACGCACCTCCGCAGCAATGCCATAGCGGCACCCTTGAACATCAAATACGCCACCATGCGAATCATATTTACCGACCACCAACCGTTTCTTATTGATAATTTCGTTGACGTTTTAGTAAGCATTGCAGTTTCAGTTGACAAAATCTGTCGTCTCAATTCTGCCACGCAGCATTTTTAAGTCTTGTTGATATGGCAAGCATATTTTAATAAGTGGTGGAGGGAAGTTCATGGTACCAAATTCTTGTACTTGCAAGAAAACTTCCACTTTTTTGCTTTGCTTTATGACATTCCAGAGCCAGATACTGGTATACACTGGTATACACTTGCGTGAAAACCGTTTGTGCGCGCAAAATCCGGAGTTATGGCTGTAAGAAAATTTCGAAAATTTAAAATGCATTCTAGTGCACCGAAAGCCTCATTATGGACCGATCTCGTTGAAATTTTGCATAACACGCACATCGTATTTACACGGAACCACCGTTCTGACATTTTTTTCTAATCATAAAATGAATTACAAAAACTTTTAAATTTATTTTAAAAATTTGGAAAAAGTAGTGCAATTCTGGTTCTGTGTAAAGAAGATCGTCCTTCGCGCTTGCATTTATGTGCAAAATAGAATAAAATCTGTCCATAATCGTACACTCTTTAGTTCGTAATTGTGGTACCATGGATGCATTTAAACCTTTCGGAACCTCCTTACAACCACAGGTACCGAATCGGATGTTGCGCGCACAAAAGGTTTTCACGCGCATGTATACAGACCATCTATCTATAGAATGTCATAAAACAAAGAGTAAAAATGTGTTTGGGAGTGCGCTAAAGTTAAAGCCATGTACCAGGTCAAACCCCTAATGGATGCTCTTAAAGTTGTTCGCATCCTTAGTTCCGTACGGACTTTTCATAACTGAACAATCAATTGTTTTTTTATCCGCCGCAATCTCATTATAAACCCTTTTTTCAATTAATCGCTTTTTTTTCAATTTTTTCAGTTAATTCAATTAATTGTTTATGTCAACGGGAAGGTCGATGCAAACTAATTCGAAGTGACAAAACTTTAAGGATTCAGAAAAAAATATGACATAATTTAGATAGAAACAGCCCCATTTTCGGTAATTCAATGCAACCCTCGCCCGGCTGGGAACCAAACCGTCATGGCACAGGAAATCCAAGCCTGACACTGTTTGGCGTAGATAACACTTTTATGCGATAGTTCGTAATGGACGCTGTCGCCACTTTTTCCGCTATGGCTCGCTGCAAAAACGCTTTCTTCAGCTTTGACCGCGGAACATCTGTGCGAAAGAGCGCATAGCTTCGACTAGCTTTACCTGTGCGAGACTAGAGGAGATGGGCGCCGTTGGCTGCGGCTTTCTTTAGCCGCCAGAAGTGTATATAGTGGACAGTGTATATAAGCTACCAGTAGTAAAATGCAGTTTATACACGCAGGAGTCGACCGAAAATCAGCTAATCTGATTATGTGCATTACGTAGTTCACAACTACACTAGATATGGTCGATATATTCACCCTTCGCGCAGTTACAGCTAACCAGCGCTCAGTTGATAGCATCCAGTCAACGATAAATCAAGTGTCCACGCGGTAGAAGTGGTGGCCGAACTCCTGACCGAGGAACTTCCATATGTGTTGGTCTCCGTCGATCCCGACAGCAGCAGCGCCGCCGGCCACACCATGCCTTCCACCGGAACGAGGCAGACGCCGGTCTGGCCGGTCCGGTCGGCCGGCAGCTGTGGCTTGGAGAGCTGCACGTCGCCCGTGATGGGTTTCAGCCGAGCCAACTGTCCGGTCGCGGTGCCGATACGGCGCGATCCGTGGCGGACATGCAAGTAAAGGTCACTTGGTAATACAGTGCAAACGTACCTCTTAAAGGCCTGCAGGGTGACGCAGGTCGTCGGCGCCTCCATTCCACTGCCCAACTGCACCGAATCCACCAAGGCCGGCGGATGGGAACTGGCGCGCTGCCGGTAACGTTGACACCGGCCAGGTCCGCGCCGAAGTCGCGGAAGGCCTCGTTGCTTGGGGTGGTCCCGCGGCAGCTTATAGGGCGCCGACGCTGGTCTCCAGGTGTTAGATCAGCTGTACCCGGTCGGCCGTCTGCCCCGTGAATGCTGACTGCGTGACGCTGATCACCGGTCCGTTCACCGCGACCCTCCTCCTGTCGTCTGGAAGACGCTCGAGCTGGACTGGCGCATCATCTGCGCGCGACTGCCAGCCTACTGAAAGCACCTTGGGTCTCCTGAAAGACGTTGCGGCCGGCGGTGGCAGCGTTCCTGTCACCGGCCGGTATCGATTGGCACGCGGTTTGGGAAGTAGCCAGAAAGCGCGACGCTGAGCGGGCGCGGCCTTCAAAAAGCAGCCCACTGCTAGAGTGAAAAGATCCCGTACCGGCCGCTTGCGCGCAACGGACACCCCGCGCCCGAGCAGGAAGCCCTCGCCAGCGCGCCGGATTAAGCGGGCGCGCGAGCCTCGCCCGGACGTACAGTAGGCCTGGAGCTGCTCGTGGGTTAGCGAGTCCAGTACCGCCGGGTCCGAGCTAAAATTTTGTTGTCTGAACGAGAACAAGCAGCAAATTAGAATTTCATAATTTTCCCACCCGGGTGTTTACAGTACTGGTCACCGGTCACTTCCGGTTGACACAACATAGCTATTTGAACGCCCTGGAAGGACGCCCAGGCGCGGCCTGGGGGTCAATCCAGAAGGAGACGCCGGTGTGGGTCATGAAGCTAGGCCATGTTCATGGGGGCGTCGCAAGGCGCGTACACCTGTTCCCTGGGCTCCTTGCTGGGAAGCGGCACCAGCACGTAGTCGTTCTGGTGCGTAGTGCGCCCCGTGGGAACGTGCGCGACTGCGCATCGCTGGGGTTGCCAAACGTGGCCGTGGGCATAGGAATGGCCGCGGGTGTCTCCACGACTTCCTGCCGCGTCAACGGCCACTGCTAAAAAGTCCACTACAAAACACGCGCAAGCAACTCAATCATAAGGCTAAAGGCAGCCAGCCAAACATAATATTATTAAGCAAATGCAAAAAGTCAGTAGATATTCAGGCAAAGCACGCAATCGCGCAAGTGAAAATAACAAAATTGATAGTTGGTTGTTTCTGATAGCAAAAGACAGCTGAAAGAGAAAAACTGAAAGTAAATTATGATAGAACGCTAAAATCAAATTAATACTAATTAAAAAAAGATATGAAGTAAAATTATTAGTAGATACCGAATAAAATAAAACTTACCGTTATAAGTGGGGTCACCGCGGAATTTGCCGCCGCCGGTGCGCCTAGGCGCCGGTTTGTAGGGTTGCGCGCGAGACATATCTTTGGCAAAACCAAACAAAACGAAGAGAAATAATTTTACAGCGCACTGGCAGCATAAAGATATAGATAGCGTGGAGTGCGGGACCTACGGAGGTACTAGGAGATGTGGTGCTCTTGAGGGCCATGGGGCGTTGGGGCCTGCTTTTAGAGCTGCTTCCTCCTCCTGGTGCGTGGTGCGGTGCTCCATCAGGCTGTCGTCGCAGACGTCGCTGGACGGCGGCTTGACGGTTTGGGCGCGCTTGCCAGGCTGGCCGGTGTAGCGCGAGCCGTACTCGCTGAGGAGACAGGGGATGTCGCGGTCCGGCGCCAGACGCGGCGCCGGCTGGTTCGGGCAGCGGTGACGTCTTCAGAATAAGCGACGGATATTAAACACGTTTCTGACCACTGTGCATGCGAATGGTTCTGTATCACGAGGGCGACGTCCAGTGGTACTGCAGCGGCGGATGTATTGCACATGCACTACTGTAGCGTTTAATGGCCATCTCGGCTGGGATATGCTCTGGACGCTCAAAAAGTGACAACTGGAATTTTTAAAAAAAAAACGAAACCACTCACCCGATGATAGTGACAAGAGGAAAACTGAGCCTTTTCCTCCTAGCGTATCAGAACTACACTGAAATATATCTGCAACGACAAAGTTTGTAGTTTATGCCCAATTGACCAAATCCTAGTTTGTACACAATTCCCTTACCACTACGAAAGTACGTTTCCAAGAAATTACCATTAAAAAGCAACTGAACTGATGAACTTGTGTCGGAAGTGATAAAGCCAGCGTAGTCTGCTCCGAACTGTTTCATTATGTCACTACTTCGCTTAGGGCTTGCTTCTTCTAGATAGAGATTTGATTTACCTGGACATGGAGTTGACGGCATCGTCAAAGCTGAGCACGATCATCTACTTCACTTGCGGCGGATCCAGATCACAGGGGTTGCGTGTGCCCTTTAGGCTGCAGAAGCCATACCGGCGGCATCGGCTGTCCTTCAATCAGCGCCAACGACACCGGTGCCAGTCAAAAATTAACGAGCACGACGGTGTACACCGTCGTATTCATACACTTTCAGCCGACACCGGTGCCACGCGTTGCGGCCGGCACAGAATGAGCGAAGAGCGTTAGGTTTCCATATGAGATCAGTAACCGCTGTTTATTAGC